CAAGGGGAGTCCTTGTGGCTCAGTGCTCTGCCTGCTCTCCCGCCCACCTCTTCTACTTTGAAGGACCGGTAATCACACTGGCCCTCCAGGATAATCCAGGCTAATCTCTCTATCTAAACACTGACTGATAAGCAACTGTGATTCCTACCCCCCACCCTGTGGTGTAACACACCCCCAGGTTCTGGGGATTAGGCTGTGGACACTGTGGGACCATTACCCTGTCTGCCCTGGGCTTGGAAGGGAGGGCAAGGGAGTGGTTTCCATTTGTGCCTCCTCTCACCTGCATACCTCAGCAGGGGCTGTGCCTAAGGAACACCTGAATTGGGGACCTACTACCTGGTAAGGGCTCCCACCAATGTCGTCTGCTGCTAGGGACCTTGGGCCTGGATTCAACTCTTCCCTGTAGGTCAGGCCTGAATCGATGAATACACAGCGGGGTGCCAGGAGGCCGCCTCCATCCACACAAACCCCAAAGCCCCGCAGTGCCCCGGGCCCTTGGACATCTTGCGACATTCCTGGTGAGGAGGAGGACTGGGCCCGGCAGGCTGGTGAAATACCAGTTGCATAGTTATATCAACACACCATGGGACTCTTAATTCAAGCTGAAACTGGGACAGCTCCGGGCCCAAGGTCAGGGCCCCAGCTAGGGACTTGGGTAAAGCTTGTAGGGTGACTGTGAATCCTCATTTTCCAAATGCAATCTCAATACTGAAAACATTCAGAGCTTGGAGGGCAATGAAAACCCCATAACAAGAAGGAACAGGAACAGTTTCTTTCTCCTGCTTGGTTTCTTGGCATGACATCAGAGGGCCACTGTCGTTTGCTTCAGGTCTCAGGCTGACGTTTCACCACACAGCATTCGCTCTGCACTATTTTTACCACCACTTCAGTTAATAGGAGCCACTGGAGGTCAATAAATATTCTAATGGTGTAGAAGAAAGTAACCGAGTCATTCCAAAGCCCTCCTCCCGACCTAAATGTGCGCAAGGGGCCTGATTTCTGTCCTTGCGTGCACCATCAGTGACACTTGTGTGACCAGGGGACACCATTTAGAAGTAACCTCGAACTGCATGTCCGGGATGTCAGCGAGGGTCCCTAGCAGCAGGGCGATGCTGCCCAGGTCACAGACAGCGTCCTGGGAATGGAAGCTTTCCCAGAGCTGAGCTCTACGCTTTGAAAGCACTCAGCTCTCGGGAGTTCAAGAACTTTTGATGGGCCCTGAGCGGACAGCATGCAGGAACTGGCAGGAGTTTAACAAACCATCTGACGGTCTGCGAGGCTGGCCTCCTAGCTCCCCGGGGCCTATTTCTTCCTCCTCCCAGGCTGCCAACTCAGGGCCTTCCATGCTGAACCTCTCTGTATTTGCCTGTTATCTGGGGCCTGCGACTTGGAACAAGCCACCTCCATTTGTCCTTTTTGATCCTGCCCCCTCTGCCGGCTGGCCACTGATGACTATTAGGTAAAAACTGGAACCCAGGAGTGGCAACCCCGAAGAGTGACAGCAGATCAAAGGCAGACTTGGCACTGTGGATTTAATACCCTCCCTTCTTACTTCTCAGACACCAGCTGGTGACATACAGGACTCACAGACCGACAGGGTCCCTATCTCCCAGGCTCTGAAGGTACATATTCCTATCAGTTCCTTTTAATAGCCCTGAAGATACCCCAGCCACATCCTGCTGCAAACAGCCATGCTCCGTTTGGTAGGTCAGCGTCCTTCCGGGGCTCCCCCTGGAAGAGCTCTAGCTCCCAAGCTGTGCCCACTGAGGTTAATGATTTTCCTGTGGGCGCCGTGAGGTGATCTGCCCTTCCTACATTCCCCTTCTCTCGACTGACGTCTCATCAGGCACTCAGTACTTTTCCTATTTCCTTCGTAGCCCTCATGTAGTCTGCAGCCTGTGTGTGAACCCTTAAGGACTGGGCTGTCTATTTCATAAAGAACCTCCTAGAAATTTCTCAGCTCTGGGACCTTCTTTCTTCAGCTTAAAAGGGAAGAATTCTGAAAAGGTGCTGCGTTTTTTTGTATTTTTTTTCACTTGTCTAATTTCAATAATTTAAAGAACACGTTTCTCATTATAGGGACAAGAATAGGATTACCTTGTCTGAAGCCATTTGCATACTACCTTCTAAAAAAATACCTGCACACCATCTGTGGCATTCTCCTTTGGTATTTCACATTAAATTGTCTCATGCCAACGCTATTCTCTACTTGAAACAATATTTATAAAATCTTGGGTTTGATGTACTAGCTATACATTTTTTTAAATGCTACAATTAAAATGTAAAAGAAATATTTCCCTGTCTGCTATCTAAAATTACTTCCTATACCACTAATGTTAGCCTCCCTCTTCGGGAAATACTCATCTAGAATACAGTTTTTGGAAAAGATTTGCATGAAGAACTTTATAGCCACAAATCTACTACAATTTCAACTTTGCCAAAGATGAAGCATTTCTATGGTCTATTTATAAAAACTTTAGAGAGGAATAAAATTTAACATATTCTAGAAAAATGTAAAATATCTCACTGCCTACAGGTTAAAACTTATATGAAATAGGAGATTTATAAGCATTATTAGATCCTATTTTATTTATTTTTATTTTTATTAGTTATTTATTTATTTGACAGACCGAGATCACAAGTAGGCAGAGAGGCAGAGAGAGAGAGAGGAGGAAGCAGGCTCCCTGCTGAGCAGAAAGCCCGATGTGGGGCTCAATCCCAGGACCCTGGGATCATGACCTGAGCCGAAGGCAGAGGATTTAACCTACTGAGCCACCCAGGCGCCCCTAGATCCTATTTTAAAAAAGAAAATAAAAGCCACCTGAATTCTAGCTTTAAAAGCTGGTGAGTATGGGACGCCTGGGTGGCTCAGTTGTTAAGCGTCTGCCTTTGGCTCAGGTCATGATCCCAGGGTTCTGGGATTGAGCCCTATATCTGGCTCTCTGCTTGGTGGGGAGCCTGCTTCTCCTTCTCCCTCTGCCTGCCACTCCCCCTGCTTGTGTTCTCTGCCAAATAAATAAATAAAATCTTTAAAAAACAAAACTGGTCAGTTATCCTCTCAATCTTAAATGATCACATCTGAGCATTCCAGTCTGGGGAGAACCAGAAGACACCACTGTCCAGTTAGTCCCATCAGAGAGGCTGAGCTGGACAACATAACAAACAGTATCCATCTCTCCAGCCCCCACCCTCAATCCTCCACCTCCAAACGCAGGAACAAGCCCAGCTGTGATCTATAATTCCATTAACCCTGCAATGAAGCATTAAATTAAACTGCCTCCCGCAGATTCTTCTTCGGCTACAAGGGAAAATGTACCTTGTAAAGCCTGAATTTCACGCTGATAGATTTACTAACCAGCGACATGTTTACAGGAGAAAACAAGTAAGCAAAATCACTAAGCAAATTGTTGAAATCTCCAGTGGGGTTGATACAACAACGAACTTTCTCCCTGATAATGTTTCCTCTAAAGAGTTTAGTTACAGAGCACCCCATCCTTAGAAAGAGCAGTTCTCTGGGGTGCCTGGGTGGCTGAGCTGCTTAGTGTCCGTCTCTCGGGTCATGATCTCAGGGTTATGAGAACGAGCCCCGTGCTGGACTCCCTGCTGGGCGTGGAGCCTCCTTGAGATTCTCTCTCTCCCTCTCCTTCTGCTGCCCCTCCCACCCTCCCTCTCTAAAAATAAACAAATTTTTCAAAAAGGGCAGTATTAAAAAAAAAAAAGACAGAGCAGTTCTTAAGTGGTTCACCGTTCTATGGAATTCTCAAACCAATCCTTTTAAATGAATCAATTCCAGGAAGAAGGCTTGCTTGAGCTGGCACGGTGGCGATGGGCCTTTGTCATCTCCGGCATAAATCACCACCCTGGACACTGCGGACTCTAAAAAGGGCATATTCAAGTCCGTGGCAGAGCCCGGGCCAGATCCCAAGTTTCTGACAACTGATTCAGTGTTCTCTACACTAGCACAGCTTCTCGGCCTTCCTGGAGAGACGATGAAGATTCCTCTTGAGCAAATTTCATTCCTGGGGGGATGCCCTAGTTCTCTTAAGCCAGAGAACCACCAACATCACTTAGCTCTTTGCAAAAAGTATATGCAGCTAAGAGAACAGCAAGAAACTGGGTTTGTGCTGCAAATATGCGGATTTCTGGCACAAGAAAATTAGCACCCCCAAAATGTTTGGTGCCCTCAAGTACACATATCTAAATTCCATTTTCGGTCTCATTAACACACATGGGGAAAGAGGTCAAGTATGCCAGCAAAATCCTTCAATAGTCAGACCACTAAAGGGTACTGAAATCTAGAAACACTGCACAGCAGAGCTGCAAGGGGTCCTGGAAATCATATAGTTCGAACCCTGCGTTAATGGATTGCTCAAGGTCATAGACTCTATGTGCCAGAGTCAGGGTTACTAAACAGCCCTCTATACGATAATGTTCTCTGAAGCTCTTGTCGTCTCTGACAGGGGCTGCGACGAGGAACAGACAAGGGCTAGCCTTTCGGCATCTCAGCACGTGCAGTAGAAATGACATCCCCAAGCTTTGCTTCCCAGGGCCAGGCCGCAGGAGACCCGCAGTGAAGCCTGCTCACCAAGGCCGGGAGTGCTCCCTTGGGCACCCGGGCCCTCTGTGCATCACCAGGGACTGTGTTCCAAGGTACCATACCTAGAAAGCCGGCTGACGAGGAAGTAAAGTGGATCCCTGGGGCCTGGGCAGCCGACAAAGATGCAGTAGCAGCACCAAATAACAACCCAAACTCCCTGAGCCCAAACTCCCTCTCTTTTCGCTGTCAGAAGCACCACCCTAACCAGGAGCAGGACTCCAGAATCTTCCGCAGTGCTCTCCTACCTGCTGCACCAGCTCCTGACCCTGGGCACAGCTTCAAGGCCTCCCAACCCCTGCATGGGTCACAGCAGTGGCCGTCTGCTCTCAATATCACACCCTCACTTCTCGGCCACTCTGGAATGATCTCTGCACCTGGTCAGTCTCACGCGGAGTAGAATTACCTGTCAGCATCGCCGAGGCCCAGGGAGGTATTTCTTTGCAGGGTCTCCCGCACCACAGCCATGCCATCGGGCAGCCGATTCAGGCGACGAGTGTAGAGGCCAAGTCCGCCATCGGTCATGTACCTGCAACAGGACCAGAGGATGATGCAGGTATACGGTCAAGAGCAATTCGTGCACAACCTTGTTCACATCTAGGAGCCCTTCATGGCCACCCTGTGCTCTAAGGGGGAAGGAACTGAGGCTTTCCCGAGGCTCTATCTCTGATCACAGCCCAGGGATAGCTCCACTGTTGATTCAACCCAAAGGATCACCCACTTGCTAGCAAAAATAGAACTCGGCTTAATTAATCCAAACTCACAGGAATCTATGGAGCAGAAGGGAACTAGTGAACATTAACTGTCAGATGTATTCATGACATTCTTTTAATCTGGCAATTATACAAGCAGGTGTCTTACCTAAGTAACAGGAGTGGAACTGACAATCATTAGCAAAGCATAGGAAAAAATATGACAGAAGAGTGCAATGGAAAAAGTGGACAAGCATTTAAAAGAGGGAGAAAGAAAAGACAGAGGATAGATGGGCCACCTTTGTCATCACCAGCAAGTTGTTTCTGTGGGTCCTGGGTCTTTCTTTCATCTGAACTATGGGAACAATACAGCCTTCCTGCCTCCCCAAGGCACACATGAGAATTCGCCAGGTAAGGCATATGAAGGTGCTCTGCAATTTGTGTAAGACCAGAAAGTGGAAGATGTTATTAGGGGTGTCATTATCTTGAAGTGTCTACAATCGTGAATGTCACCTTTGATAGTGACGTCTTACTGGGTTGTCACAAAACTCTCCAACACTTAGACTAATTTAGTCTTCCAGATTTCTTAGTGAGTCCACAAAGCTATCTTCTGATGGAGTCAGTGTTGTCGGGGGAGGGGGTGTACCCCTGGAACTTCTTCTATATAAACAGACATCTGCTACCCAGACCAGTTTCCGAGAGCTTGGCCACCGGTGGGAGGTAGTTTGGGTACAAAGCAGCTTTGCCTCATCTACCCTGCCTCCTTCCCAGCATCCCTTAAGGGAGACTGCTTGTGCCATCACTCCCACCTTCAGAGGAGGACAGGAAGGCAAGATAGAAGTTGGGCAGAGCAAGAAACCAAACTTGGGTCCCTTGAATTCCCACAAGAGCCCCATCAGATAGACCTGCAAGGTGTCTGAAAATGTAGGGGTCTTACATTTCAAATGAAATGACATTTATTAAGAAGACCAAGAAGTGGTGATTTTTCTGAAACAGTCCGCTGACCTGCATCACGCAGAAAGTTTCACTGGATTTAGTATTTTAGCTTTAGAATACATGAAGTAGATTTTTGAGGGTTGTCAATTCTGGACTTTCTTCTACTTCGAGTTTGGGTCTTTTCTGGGATATATTCTTAGAAACATGGAGTTACCGGATGCTGTGGAGGTTGTACACGACCAGTAAGTTTCAGTTAGGGGCAGGGAAGATAGTTCTCACTGGCACATCTCGGGTAAGAACTGTCCGTATGCATCAAAAGAATTCTCCTTTAGGTCAGCTTCCAGGACATTAGATCTAAATGAAACTTCTCTGATGTCTCCTCCCACCCATCTTTTATGACATTAATGACCACAGGCAATGCAGTGCCAACCTGGTATAAAGTCTGTTGGGAGTAGTCAAAACAATTGCTTGTGGTTGTACCAAAAATACGACAACAGATTAGACTGAATTTTTCACTCCACTGTGTCATACAAAAAAAAAAAAAAAAAAAAAAAAACCAAGAAAAAAAACAACTGTAAAAATACTAAAAACCACTGCATTATAGACAGTAAAAGGGTGAATTTTATGAATTGTATCTCAATTAAAAAAAAAAAACAAAAATTTACTGCTATAGTTTAAGAATTATTTGTGTAACTACTTTTTAGTGCTTATCTCCTACACTATCCAATAAGTTCCTTGAGGACAGGGACTATTTGTACTTTGTTGAACTCTATATCCCATGTGCCTAACACATACTTAGTGCTCACGACAAGTTGTTTTTACTGCATGAAGACCAAAGACACAGCCATAGGATGGAGTTTAGCAAAAACCTTTTGGGAGGACACCAATTACAGGTTTGCTTTCCTCTTTTTATTTTATTTTATTTTTAAAAAGATTTTATTTTTTAGGTAATCGCTACACGCAACATGGGGGTCAAACTCACAACCTCAAGATAAAGAGTCATATCCCCCACTGAATGAGCCAGCCAGATGCCCCTTCCTCTTAAAAACAAACAAACAAACAAACAAACAATTCTCTTTTTCTTTTGAAAGTTTTTTTTTTTTTGTATTTTTTCCCCCCAGCGGGGGGCCCAACCCAACACCCCGAGGATAAGGTTTTTTTTTTTTTTTTTTTTTTTTTTTTTTTGCATGTACCACCTACTGAGCCAGCCAGGAGTCCCGCGTTTTCCTTCCTCTTAAATGTCAGCAAACATGCCATCTAAGATATATGGAAAGGCAAACTGAACTGTTGATCTGCCAGTCGACCCATCCACCGGTCCATCCAACCACTCAGCCTTTCAGTGTAACCTAGGGTCCAGGGGTAGTAATCTCCGTGTACACATCCTCCAGCCAGCACCAGGAGAAAAAAAAAAAAAAAAAACAAAAAACAAAAACTCACCTACATCATAACACAGTGACTTTGCTAGAGGCTAGACTTTCTGGCTCACATGTCCTTTCAAGGAAAATTCACGGGAAGCTCTTCACAACACAATGTGCTGCCCCATTAAACAAGGCAGTTAATTTTGATTTTAGTAAAACCCACCCAGCCATGTCAACTAAAACTTTTCAATGGCGGGGATCTTGCCAGAGGACAAACTCATTTTAGCATTCATCTCCCCGCTGGATTTTTCCTGCTGGTGAAACAACACACAACAGTGGGGCGATCGCACGGACCCAGGTGCACAGACGAGGCCCCCGTGTTCACAGCCTCAGCTCTCTGCAGAGGCATGGGCAGGACCCGGCGAGCGGTCTGCAGACGAGTGCGGAGACGCGGCTCAGCATCCAACCCGCTAACACCCGAGCATGCCATGGTTCTGTCAAAAATGGTGGTGGCAGGGCCCTGGAGAGATGGGTCTGGGTATGTTACTGAGGCCTGTCAGGTGCTAATGGGAATTCGGGTTTTGTTCAGGCCCAGAGGAGGGGAAGGGCAAGATGAATCAGATCCCTGCCTTTGCAAATGCACAGAGAGCTAAAGAGCAGCGGAGTTGAATGCAACTGATCTGTGACCCAGCTTGGCTGCAAATCTATTTCATTCACCCTGTGTGAGAGTGGTGGGGGAGGGGAGTGGGGAGGGGGGAGAAATGGTGAGGAAATGGGGAATTTACATCTTTTCCCAGACATTTGTCAAAACACATATCCGACCACATATAATTTTTGTAACAGTCTCAAAAATAAATTGTTTTATGTCGTCTCGCTAGAAGATTGTGCAGCAATGGAGACAGCTGTCACTATGACCAGGCTCGCACTCAAGAATCTAATAATGTATTTATTTCTAAATTATTACCTACTGATTCTAACGGTCTCATTTACAAAACGCTCTCTCTGTTTTTAAATAACTCTTGTATTCTCAATGAAAATATAATTTTGGTTTTTTAAAAAAATATTTTATTTATTTGAGAGAGAGTATGAGAGGAGAGAGGTCAGTGGGAGAAACAGCTTCCCTGGCAAGCAGAGAGCCCGATGTGGGACTCGATCCCGGGACTCCAGGATCATGACCTGAGCCAAAGGCAGTTGCCCAACCAATTGAGCCACCCAGGCACCCCCTATAATTTTGGTTTGACCCAGATTTGTGTAGGACCTGGCTACAGGTTATATGAATATAGACTGCCTTCCTCAAGTCAATCCCTCAGGAAAGCATAATTTACAGGTGAGGCAGTCCCTGGTGTGTGTCCATGTGAATCACCAGCCCTGGTCCAGGAGGGCTAAGAAGGCTTGTGTTCCTGATGGTGGGGATAGGGACCGGGGAGCCACGGCCACACCCCGTCTTTGGAGCTTCAGTGAGGCTCCCACTGGGTACAGATCAAAGGGTTTGTGTGAGGTCACAAGGAAAGGAAGCAGCAGATCCAGGTACTGGAACCTCCAGCGGCAGCACTAGGGCTCCTTCTCCTTGGGGGAAATGAGTAATTCACGCTGGAGCCTATCGGCATGCCAGTAACATCCTAATGTTTGCTTGGTGGGGTCCTGACTAAGCCACCAAGCAGCTCACCAATTTTCACATTATGGTCTCGAGTTCTGCAGTGATGTGTGCAGAGGCTCAGTCTCTACCTTCCACAGCTGGTCTGGAGGGCCCCCTACCCCACCCCGATGGAGCCTGGGCTGACAACACAAGGGGGGTGTTTTCTTTTCAAGGCTTGGTCACCCTGGGCTGGCCCACGAGAATAAGAGTTAACAACAGGGCTCTCTTGTCAGGAAGACCTGGGTTCAAATGTCTCCTCTGCCTCTTGCCGGATGGGGGGCCTTGGGGACATCCTTACTAATAAGAACTAAAGGTTATGGAGGCTACCCGGTACTGTGCTAAGTGCTTCCCATAAGCCATGATACTGTACCTTCAAGGCTCGTATGAAGTGTATTATCTGTTTTCCAGATGAGGACAACGAAATTGTGGTCAGGATCACAGTGCCAGGTGCGTGGGTTCAAATCCCAGCTCTGTGTCACACTTTTCGGTGTAATTCCTTTGAGCTTCATTTCCTCGGCTACAAGATGGGCAAAACTACAGAATAACTTCACAGGGCTGTGGTGGGCTAAAGGCGCCACTGTATACGAAGCCCAGTGCCTGGGAGCACTTCAAATGTATTAGCTGCTGTGACTCTTGACGCCAATGACTGCCCACAACACAGAGTAGTGACTGTGCGTCCCCTTCTCACTTTTTAGTCGCATAACTAGTAGGTACCAGGCTCTGTATGAGGCTGGGGTTACAGAGGTAGAAAGACCTAGTTCCTGCAATCTACAGGGGACTGCGACATTGAACAGATAATTCTACTATGACATGGAGAGCGGTGTTACAGATGGATGTAGGACAGGCTCAGAGCACACAGTGGGAGGAGTCATAGAGGAGCTATGTAAGCTGGCCTTTGAGGGGTGCA